GACAGTGTGCACAATCCTAAAATGCATACACATAGTCACCCCCCCCCACCCCAGCCACAGCCAACAGTTCTGCTACTTTCGGATGGGGAACTGAGATTCTAGCAACAGGATAAGCAGTTCATACCTAGCATTAGCACTGCTACACTCTGTGATGAGGAAGGCCACCCTAATCACAGAAGATACTTTTCATCCCTTCCATCAGTCGTTCCAGCTGCTCCCATCAGGAAGAAGGTTTAAAGTCCCTCTGGCCCAGAAAGCAATTTATAAAAAATCATTTATTCCGTTTGCAATATAAACCTTGAACATTTTAAATCAGAACTATACCTTTACACACTTTGAACAGACCTCCTTTATGTGTTTTCATGTGCTTTGTGTGTGTTTAAGTGTTATTCTAAGTGCAAGAATGCTGTTAGAGCCCATCAAAGAAATATTTCTGTCACCGTTTGGGGCAGACGATAAAGTTTTCTATACTATTCCAAACAATATGCAAAACATTATGCTTTTCAGGTTCATGTTCTTTCACCGATAGTTGTTTTTGGATTCTTGTGGAAATGTATCAATTCAACCTTTATTTAGACATTATTTAAAGAAAGCATGTAAATTGAAAAAACAATAAATGGAAGAAAATGATGTTAAAAACAGCTATATTATAAGGCGATATACTAACAACAGGAACATGTCTAAGTTGGTTTTTGCCATGAACTTAGCAGCTGTTTGAAGTCTTTCAGAGTGGCAATCAACAGTTTATTTATCTGGGTTTTACTGCAGGCTGAGCAGCAGGGTCCAGCATTCCTGACCTCGGGTCAGTTCACCCCTCACGCCCTAGGGAGAAGAGATCGACCCGATCCCGTCCAGAATGCCCGGTACCAGGCCTACAACATGAGGATGCATTCGAACATGGTACTGCTCAATATTTAAATCAGTTTAATTTTCCTCTAATTGAATTCTTTTTATTGCTGAGTGAAGAGGCCATAAAAAACAAAAGCACTTTTTTTTGTTCAAAAGACTGGAGTTTCATCTTTGTTTTTTAAATACTATGTACAGTATCTAAAAAAGTTGAATCTAGTCCTCTGGACATTCAAAAGTCAAAACAAAGCAAAACGACAACAAAAAAAGTAGAAACGTTTCATCTTTCATCCGAAAGACTTCTTCAGTCTGAGGTGCTGTATTCACTCAGGGTGCATTCACACCAGCTCTGTTTAGTCGCTTTAATCGAACTCTAGCTCGTTTTCCTAGAAAGTCCGGTTCGTTTAGGGAGGTGTGAACGTGCCATCAAACTCTGTCATGGAACAAAAAGGTGAACTCTGACCCGTGCTAAAACCTAGGTCTGGGTCCGGTAGAAGCGAACTCCAGCGCGGTTCGAGTACAGTGTGAATGCAAACAGACCGGACCCGCTCCACAGGACAAACAAACACACACATTTCTCTGACCTCATATGGAGCCGTCAGCTGACTTGTGTGAAGAACAATATTCTCCATGGTCTTCTGTCTCATCTTCTGCTCATGCTGAGTCCATTGTTGAAAAATGACAAACTATAACTCCTAAAACTGATAAAACTTGATGCCACTTCGTTTTTATTTTTATTTACAGAAGAAGAAGAAGACGTGTCTTCAGAGGTTTTTGTGTTGTTTATTTCAGTAGTTCTTGGTGCAGCACCCCCACAGGCGAGCGGGGGAACAGGTTGGTTCAACAGGTTGACTCCACTGTTCAGTGCAGAGTGAATGCAAACGCACCAGCTCAAATGTAACAAAATGTCATGAATATTGGTCCTGAACCGAACCGAGTCTACCGGACTATCAGGTGTGAAAACGACCTCAGTCTCTTAAATAGCACCTTCTCAGAGTGGATCAACCAGTTTGCTGCTGACAACCAGAACCAGCTGATCACATGCTCAAGAAGGACCATCAGCCTAACAATGGATCATTAGCACACTGATGGCTGTTTACTGTTCACAGAGGGCTGAGTGATACTAGCAATCACAGCATTGTAAGAGGGGGACAGTTGAACCCGGAGGCTCCGCCCCTGTTTAATGATGGACGGTTTCTTTTCACAAAGATGGCCTCCTTTACTCCTCTCTCAAACCATCGTTCCTCTCTGTCCAGGATGTGAACATCTTCATCCCTGAAAGAGTGACAGCTGGCCTGGAGATGAGTGTAGACCTCAGAGTCCTGGCCTGATGATGTTGATCTTTTGTGCTGGTCCATCCTTTTGGCCAGTGGCTGTTTAGTTTCCCCGATGTAAGACTGATCACCCTCCTGACACTGAACAGCATACACAATATTACTCTGTGCCGGGGGACTGGATCTTTGGGATGAACCAGTCTTTAATGTATTTTGGGGTTTAAAAGCCTCTGGGACGTTATGTTTAGAAAATAAACGTCTCAGTTTCTCTGATACTCCCTCAACATACGGAATGACCACTGGTCTGGGTCTGGGTTCCTCCTTTTCACCTGTTGGCTGACTGGAGTCCTGTTTGGGTTTCTTCTCTGCTTTCAGGAAGGCCCAGTTAGGATATCCACATTGCTCTAGAGCCTGTCTTGTGTGGGATTTCTCCTTCTGCCTGGCTCCTGAGCTAGTGGGGACGCTGTCTGCTCTGTGGTACAGAGTCCTGATGACTCCTAACTTGTGCTCCAAAGGGTGATGGGAGTCAAACTGCAAATACTGGTCTGTGTGGGTGGGTTTGTGGTACACCTCAGTTTGCAAATGTCCTCTATCAGAGACTGAGACCTCACAGTCCAAGAAAGCCAACCTGCCATTTTTTACATCTTCTCGTGTGAACTTGATGTATTTATCCACAGAGTTGATGTGGTCAGTAAAATGTTGGACTCCCTGAGATTTAATTTTAGCCCAGGTGTCATCAACATAGAATAGACTTCCTGTGCGTGTCAGAGTTGATTTTAAAATTCTCCTGCTGACATTCAAGTGCATTAACAGCCTTGCACCATCATACCTCTCCGACCTTCTTCATCCTTATTCTCCTTCTCAGGTTTTGAGATCATCGGACCAGCTGCTTTTGGTGGTTCCAAAAACCAGCTGAAGCTCAGAGGAGATCGGGTGTTTTCAGTCAATCTACCCATCAACATTCGACAGGCCACCTCAGTCTCTGCTTTTAAAACTCTTCTAAAAACACACCTATATTCATTGACATTTAACACAGAGTGATCGGATTTAGATTGATTTTTTTTAAAATTCTGACTGAGTTTATGCTTTTTTGTTATTATTCCTTGACTTATGTCACAAGATGGTCTGATTTAGTATTTCATTGTTTCTAATTATGTTTTCTGTTTTATATTTTTATTCCATGTGCTGTAAATATATCTTGTTGGTTGTCAGCAGCAAACTGGTTGATCCACTATGAGAAGGTGCTATTTATAAGACTCAGCTGATACAACACCTCAGACTGAAGAAGTCTTTCGGATGAAAGACAAAACGTTCCTACATTTTTTATTTTGTTTTGCTTTGTTTTGTTTTTTTGAATGTCCAGAGGACCAGATTTAACTTTTTTGGGTCCATTAGTGTTGTCTTCTCTCCATCCATCCATCTTCTTCTTATCTGGGGTGGGGTCACGGGGGTAGCAGCCTAAGTAGGGAGGCCCAGACTTCCCTCTCTCCAGTCACTTGGGCCAGCTCCTCTGGGGGGATCCCAAGGCGTTCCCAGGCCAGCCGAGAAACATAGTCCCTCCAGCGTGTCCTGGGTCTTCCTCTGGGTCTCCTCCCGGTGGGACGTGCCTGGAACACCTCACCAGGGAGGCGTCCAGGAGGCATCCTAACCATAGATGAACGTAGATTGACCTGTAAATTGAAAGCTTCGCCTTTTGACTCATCTCTCTCTTCACCATGACAGACCGGTGTCTTCTCTCTGGTTAATGTTTCTATTTGTTCAGAAAACTGTTGTAACATTAGGATCTGTGAAATTCTTCTGAGTCATCTGGTTATCTCAAAGCTACTGGTTATTTTCAACATTCTGAAGAAAACCGTTTTTGATGCACTCTTGAGATTTTTTTGATGTATAAAACATCTCAAACATGTTGTTGGTTTAAAGGAGAACATCTTTGGAATAAAACTACAAGATACTGGTCATGACTAGGTTAGATGTGGATTATCTGACATGATGGAAATCTGATTGTTCTGTTTATCTGAATTGGATCTTAAATAAAAACGTGTTTGTTCCGTCACTTCAGTCTTCTCGTTTTATAAACTCCTGTTGTTCAGGGATGGAAGTTTTAAATGTTAGATTTTTATTTTCCAGGATGCTGCTCAGTCACTGAAAGCCACTATGAAGAACGGAGGAAATGTGAGTTAACACAAATTTTTTTTCTCATTAAGATTAAAATAAAGAAAATAATAAAAAAAAATCAAACTCATATTCCTAGTATCACCTGTGGTTCTATGTTAGATGAGACAACTTTAAAAATGTCACTAGAACCTGATTAGTTTGGATGTTTGAATTGTTTTTATTCTGTTGAGCTCTCTGAATTGTCAAAAATAATAGCTTCATCCAAACCATCCATATGCTAGATCCCATCCCAACCGGGCTATTTTCATTCAACCTTTATTTATGCAGGTTAGTCCCACTGAGCCTCGGGGACTCATTTACAAGAGAGGCCTGATTTTAACTAATTTTAACTGCAGTAAACACATTTAAGTAAAAGTTGTCTGCCTGAAAAAGGGGCATTAGACGCACCTAACAAAGAAATAAGCGCTGATCATTGCAACTCCAGATTGTCATCAACTCTAGTTAAACTGTTGTCTAGTCAACCTTGTAATGGGTCAATATTGAACAATATTTTAATTTCCTGACACCATTTTCAAAACTTTGACCCAAGTGTCGAGCCATTTGGACATCTCTTGTCTCCTAACATCCCATGAACTGACACATTTTAATTTTACAGCAGGAATTTCTTGTTCGAGTTCATAAGAAATTAGTTTTCAAAGTTTTTTGAGTCCAGTCTGGCTCTTTTGGGAGAGAGACTCTGTCCTGTTGTACTGAATAGTTTTTCAGCAGTCTTTCAATACGGCCATGGGTGGTGCGTATCTTCTGGCTGACTCTCCACAATGGAATCCATTTTGGGTGTGTTAGCAGTGCTGTGGGTTTGCACAGCTCAATGGCGTAAATACTAGAATATAGGCCATTGACTCAGCTCTTCTTGAAGGTGGGTCTAACGTTACCTGCCCATTTTGCAGTGATCCAATGGGCCATCTCCCCTCTCGCCATTGGTTACTTTCAAAATAACGAACAAATTAAAAAAACGCAACGTGAATGTAACTTGTAACACAACGCATTATATAAATGTAGAGTAGTAGAAAGTACATATACAGGTCCTTCTCAAAAAATTTGCATATTATGATAAAGGTCATTATTTTCCATAATATATTGATAAAAATGAAACTTTCATATATTTCAGATTCATTGCACACCAACTGAAATATTTCAGGTCTTTAATTGTTTTAATACTGATGATTATGGCATACAGCTCATGAAAACCCAAAATGCCTGTCCCAAAAAATGAGCATATCATGAAAAGTTTCTCTAAACAAGCTATTAACCTAACCATCTGAATCAACGACGTAACTCTAAACACCTGCAAAAGATTCCTGAGGCTTTTAAAAACTCCCAGCCTTGTTCATTACTCAAAACCTCAATCATGGGTAAGACTGCCGACCTGACTGCTGTCCAGAAGGCCATCATTGACACCCTCAAGCAAGAGGTTAAGACACAGAAATAAATTGCTGAATGAATAGTCTGTTCCCAGAGTGCTGTATCAAGGCACCTCAGTGGGAAGTCTGTGGGAAGGGAAAAGTGTGGCAGAAAACGCTGCACAACGAGAAGAGGTGACCGGACCCTGAGGAGGATTGTGGAGAAGGGCCGATTCCAGACCTTGGGGGACCTGCGGAAGCAGTGGACTGAGTCTGGAGTAGAAACATCCAGAGCCACCGTGCACAGGCGTGTGCAGGAAATGGGCTACAGGTGCCACATTCCCCAGGTCAAGACACTCTTGAACAAGAGACTGCGTCAGAAGCGCCTGACCTGGGCTACAGAGAAGCAGCACTGGACTGTTGCTCAGTGGTCCAAAGTACTTTTTTCAGATGAAAGCAAATTTTGCATGTCATTCTGAAATCAAGGTGCCAGAGTCTGGAGGAAGACTGGGGAGAAGGAAATGCCAACATGCCAGAAGTCCAGTGTGAAGCACCCACAGTCAGTGATGGTCTGGGGTGCCATGTCAGCTGCTGGTGTTGGTCCACTGTGTTTTTTCAAGGGCAGGGTCAATGCAGCAGCTATCAGGAGATTTTGGAGCACTTCATGCTTCCATCTGCTGAAAAGCTTTATGGAGATGAAGATTTCATTTTTCAGCACGACCTGGCACCTGCTCAGTGCCAAAACCACTGGTAAATGGTTTACTGACCATGGTATTACTGTGCTCAATTGGCCTGCCAACTCTCCTGACCTGAACCCCATAGAGAACCTGTGGGATATTGTGAAGAGAAAGTTGAGAGACACAAGACCCAACACTCTGGATGAGCTTAAGGCCGCTATCGAAGCATCCTGGGCCTCCATAACACCTCAGCAGTGCCACAGGCTGATTGCCTCCATGCCACGCCGCATTGAAGCAGTCATTCATGCAAAAGGATTCCCGACCAAGTATTGAGTGCATAACTGAACATGATTATTTGAAGGTTGGTGTTTTTTGTATTAAAAACACTTGTCTTTCATTGGTGGGATGAAATATGCTCATTTTTTGGGACAGGCATTTTGGGTTTTCATGAGCTGTATACCATAATCATCAGTATTAAAACAATTAAAGAGCTGAAATATTTCAGTTGGTGTGCAATGAATCTGAAATATATGAAAGTTTCATTTTTATCATTACATTATGGAAAATAATGACCTTTATCACAATATGCTAATTTTTTGAGAAGGACCTGTACTTGATGTAAAATGTAGTGGAGTAAAAGTTGGAAGTAACATGTTTAACTCTATCTAAAAAAAAAAGTTAAATCTGGTCCTCTGGACATTCAAAAACAAAACAAAGAAAAACAAAACAAAAAAAAAATGTAGAAACGTTTCGTCTCTCATCCGAGAGACTTCCTCAGTCTGAGGTGCTGTTTTCAGCTCAGTCTCTTAAATAGCACCTTCTCAGAGTGGATCAACCAGTTTGCTGCTGACAACCAGAACCAGCTGATCACATGATCAAGAAGGACCATCAGCCTAACAATGGATCATTAGCACCTGATGGCTGTTTACTGTTCACAGAGGGCTGAGTGATACTAGCAATCACAGCATTGTAAGAGGGGGACAGTTGAACCTCGAGGCTCCGCCCCTGTTTAATGATGGACGGTTTCTTTTCACAAAGATGGCCTCCTTTACTCCTCTCTCAAACCATCGTTCCTCTCTGTCCAGGATGTGAACATCTTCATCCCTGAAAGAGTGACC